GCCTCAAGCATGGGTCAGTAATCATGCCTCAATCATTGGTCAGTAATCATGCCTCAATCATTGGTCAGTAATCATGCCTCAATCATTGGTCAATAATCATGCCTCAAACATTGGTCAGTAATCATGCCTCAATCATTGGTCAGTAATCATGCCTCAATCATTGGTCAGTAACCATGCCTCAATCATTGGTCAGTAATCATGCCTCAATCATTGGTCAGTAATCATGCCTCAATCATTGGTCAATAATCCTGCCTCAAACATGGGTCAAAAATCATGCCTCAATCATTGGCCAGTAATCATGCCTCAATCATTGGTCAGTAATCATGCCTCAATCATTGGTCAGTAACCATGCCTCAATCATTGGTCAATAATCATGCCTCAAACATGGGTCAAAAATCATGCCTCAATCATTGGCCAGTAATCATGCCTCAATCATTGGTCAGTAATCATGCCTCAATCATTGGTCAGTAATCATGCCTCAATCATTGGCCAGTAATCATGCCTCAATCATTGGCCAGTAATCATGCCTCAATCATTGGTCAGTAACCATGCCTCAATCATTGGTCAATAATCATGCCTCAAACATGGGTCAAAAATCATGCCTCAATCATTGGCCAGTAATCATGCCTCAATCATTGGTCTCAATCATGCCTCAATCATTGGTCAGTAATCATGCCTCAAACATTGGTCAGTAATCATGCCTCAATCATTGGTCAGTAATCATGCCTCAATCATTGGTCAGTAATCATGCCTCAATCATTGGCCAGTAATCATGCCTCAATCATTGGTCAGTAATCATGCCTCAATCATTGGTCAGTAATCATGCCTCAATCATTGGTCAGTAATCATGCCTCAATCATTGGTCAGTAATCATGCCTCAATCATTGGTCAGTAATCATGCCTCAATCATTGGCCAGTAATCATGCCTCAATCATTGGTCAGTAATCATGCCTCAATCATTGGTCAGTAATCATGCCTCAATCATTGGTCAGTAATCATGCCTCAATCATTGGTCAGTATTCATGCCTCAATCATTGGCCAGTAATCATGCCTCAATCATTGGTCAGTATTCATACCACCAAACACAACAAAATAATCTCACCACCAACCATTGGTCAGAGGTCATGACAACAAACGCAGGTCAGTATTCATTCCGCTAATAATACGTCAGCAATCATGACACCATCAATAGAACATAATTCATGACACACGTCAGAAGGCATGACACTACCTTCAGATCATTAGTCATGCCACTGACCATGAGTAAGCATGCAAACCGTCAACCATAGGTCAGTAATTGTTGCTCAAACCATAGATCAGCAATTTTTCCACAAACCCACACAATAGTAATCATGGAACCAACCACAGGTCAGTTGTCAAGTGACGCAAATTTTCGATAAACCAGTTACTAACCCCTGACATAATAAGCTAAATTCGTTATGTCAGAAAATTATTCAAACTAACTGTATTCATTTTCATGTGAGAAATGTCTAGAAGCTCCCTGGATAGCATTGAGGAGTATTGCGTTAGCCAACATTTGGCGACATGACTATTTTTCTCCCAAATTTTTAATTCTTCCAGTCTACAATTTAATTATACTTTAAAAGAATTATATTTGACTGGATTCAAATTAAAGGCTTAGATAGAACTAAGTAACTTTCTCCCTGAGGCGAAATATACCCAAAGTTACTAGTCGAGTCAACTGGAAATGAAATAGTCACGCAATAAACTTTATATACATAAAATATAATTTACTTTCTTATAAACGTCCAGTCCAGCATTACAAACAGTAAAAAACTGTGATTGGAACTGATAAAATAAAGCGTAAAATAACGCTTCTCTGTCCTCGTTAATAAATGGGCAGAAAATAGTGGAGTGACTATTAACGTGTCTAAGGTCAGAGGAGGAAGAGAAGCCATTGTTGATCTGGTACAGGCCTCGTGAGGAAACAAAGCAGCCACACTTATCTTCAACATCCGTGCCGTTACAGCGTTCTACAGCGGCTGCGACCTACAATTACGAGTATTCTCTGTACCCGGTTTGTTAGACATCTAGTTTATATATATTATTTGGCCTTTTAATTGTAAGTTAGATAGATGAACAGTTATATTACAGGCGATCCCACAAATCATGGTGAGCCTCTCCACACTGAATAACTAATTCTACTGAACATGATATATCTGTGATATAATATTTGCAGTAGTTACATTGTGGAATTCCGGCAGAACTGTAGTGATCATCAGGACCCAAATGACATCAACTAGTCGATACACGTGGGACAGCCGCAATAGGCCACGAGCTGCATACCTGCTTGATTAACCCGATGTCCTTTGTACTCATGTTGAAACCTTCTATACAGATAAGGTCATGTGAGTATTTCAAACAGTACCATTAGTTTAGTTTACTAATCCTTATTGCAATTTTCCTATCTATCGATGGGGAGTGTGCCTTATAAGGGGTAACACCTAGCAGAAGTCCAGAATCCTAATACAGTCTACCGTATATCATCAAATATTTGTAATGAATATACCTGCTGGGAAATTCCCCACACAAGGCACCCACCACAGGTCAGCAGTTATGACACCAACCACAATGCAATAGATATGCTACCAACCAAAGAACAGCAGTCGTGCCACCAACTATAGGTCAGCAGGTATTCCACCAACCACAGACCAACAGTCATAAAACCACCAATAGGTCATCTGTCATGCCACCAACCACAGGTAGGCTCTCATGCCACCAACCACAGGTAGGCTCTCATGCCACCAACCACAGGTAAGCTGTTTTGCCACCAACTTACGCTACCTGTTATGACACCATTCTCAGGTCAGTAGTCATTCCACTAATCTTCTGGAAAAAGTCATGCCACTAAGAACAGGTCTGTAGTCATGCCACCATCGACATCGTCATTCCACACGGGGCAAAACAGCAGTCATGACACCACCCACAAGGCAGTAGTCATGTTACAAACCATAGGGGACTAGGTAGGACACCAACCATATATCTGAAGTCATGACAACAATCACATACAGGCCAGCAGTCATTCCACCAATGATTGGTCAGCATCCATGACATCTATTATTGGTCAGTAGCTTGGCGCAAACCAAAGGTGTGCAATCATGCCACCAACCATAAGGCAGTAGTCATGCAACTAATCAAACGTCAGCAGGTATGACACTAACCAAAGGTCAGTAGCCATGCCAGTAACCAAAGGTCCGTAGACATGCCCATACACAAGTCAGTATTCATAACACCAATAATGGTCAGCAGTCATGCCACCTACCATGTTCAAACCGTCATGCCACCAAGCTATAGGTGAGCATTCATGACACCACCTGTATGTCAGAGGTAAGGCCACTAACCATTGGTCGGTAGTAATTCTACCAACGATATGTTAGCAGTCATGCCACCAACCACATGTCAGCAGTCATGCCACCAACCACATGTCAGCAGTCATGCCACCAACCACATGTTAGCAGTCATGCCACCAACCACATGTCAGCAGTCATGCCACCAACCACATGTTAGCAGTCATGCCACCAACCACATGTCAGCAGTCATGCCACCAACCACATGTTAGCAGTCATGCCACCAACCACATGTTGCAGTCATGTCACCAACCACATGTTAGCAGTCATGCCACCAACCACATGTCAGCAGTCATACCACCAACCACATGTCAGCAGTCATGCCACCAACCACATGTCAGCAGTCATGCCACCAACCACATGTTAGCAGTCATGCCACCAACCACATGTCAGCAGTCATACCACCAACCACATGTCAGCAGTCATACCACCAACCACATGTTAGCAGTCATGCCACCAACCACATGTCAGCAGTCATGCCACCAACCACATGTCAGCAGTCATGCCACCAACCACATGTTAGCAGTCATACCACCAACCACATGTCAGCAGTCATACCACCAACCACATGTCAGCAGTCATACCACCAACCACATGTTAGCAGTCATGCCACCAACCACATGTCAGCAGTCATGCCACCAACCACATGTCAGCAGTCATACCACCAACCACATGTTAGCAGTCATGCCACCAACCACAACCCGCCAAACACACACCGAAACTACGACGTTGGTACAACGTTCGAACAAGTTTTAACACCTCCTAACCAGCTATAACAACCAATATACCAAGTTGTAACAACGTTCTAATACGTCATAAACACGTTAAGCCAAGATGTAACAACTTTATTACAGGTTGTAACAAGCGGAAAATAGAGACAGTTTCGGTTTGTGTTTCCAGGGAAGTGAACAGTTTCGTTGGTCAGCAGTCATGCCAACAGCCATACGTTAGCTGTCGTGTCTCCAAACATAGGTCAAGAGCAGTGCCACCAAACACAGGTCATCAGTCATGTCATCAACCCACATGTCAGCAGTCATAACAACAACCATAGGTCAACAGTCATGACACCAACGACAGGTCAGTTGTCATAACTCTAACCAGAGGTCAGAAGTCATGAGACCAACCACATGTCAGTATTCATGACAGCAACAACAGGTCAGTAGTCATAACTCTAACCAGAAGTCATGACACCAACTACAGGTCAATAGTCATAACGAGGCAGTTGACGAGGTTGAGTCTCACAATACGTGACCATGCTGTAGTAACAGTGAGGCCAGCTGTTGACTGGGGAAGGTGACCCAGTGATCTCACAGCTCCTGGCTCCACTCATGTATCTGACTCATCTGTTATCACAAATGGTTTATTATCTTGAACTTATCAGCCACAACTATGTAACCAAGACATTAACTAAGACTTTATCTGAGAGCACTACATCACAGCTCATTATAACTTTCCTTGTGTTATATGACATAAAGTTCCCATTCTTTTCTAACTTTGCAGCAAAATACTTATTCTTAGTTCAAAATGTATAAAGATATTGCCATCTGCATGAAGAAGTCAATGCTTCATCTGTGACTGTGGCAGATGATTACACGGCAGGTACGGCAAGTACGTGCCGTGTCCGTCACGTACCTGGTGATGAAGTCCTGTGCCACCTGGTCGACCTGGGGGAGATACTTGGCCACGGTCTTTGTCTTCATGGCGTGCACCTGTACTTGACTCCGCACCCGCCACCAGTTTAATCCTTGCCTGCCGTGACAACGTCTCAATCAATTATTAATATATTTGATATATATATATATATATATATATATCAAATATATATATATATATATATATATATGTCGTACCTAGTAGCCAGAACTCACTTCTCAGCCTACTATTCAAGGCCCGATTTGCCTAATAAGCCAAGTTTTCCTGAATTAATATATTTACTATAATTTTTTTCTTATGAAATGATAAAGCTACCCTTTTCACTATGTATGAGGTCAATTTTTTTTTATTGGAGTTAAAATTAACGTAGATATATGACCGAACCTAACCAACCCTACCTAACCTAACCTAACCTATATATATAGGTAAGGTTAGGTTAGGTAGCCAAAAAAAGCTAGGTTAGGTTAGGTTAGGTAGGTTAGGTAGACGAAAATATATTTATTCAGTAAAACTTGGCTTATTAGGCAAATCGGGCCTCGCATAGTAGGCTGAGAAGTGAGTTCTGGCTACTAGGTACGACATATATATATATATATATGTCGTACCTAGTAGCCAGAACTCACTTCTCAGCCTACTATTCAAGGCCCGATTTGCCTAATAAGCCAAGTTTTCCTGAATTAATATATTTACTATAATTTTTTTCTTATGAAATGATAAAGCAACCCTTTTCTCTATGTATGAGGTAAATTTTTTTTTATTGGAGTTAAAATTAACGTAGATATATGACCGAACGTAACCAACCCTACCTAACCTAACCTAACCTATATTTATAGGTAAGGTTAGGTTAGGTAGCCAAAAAAAGCTAGGTTAGGTTAGGTTAGGTAGGTTAGGTAGACGAAAAAACATTAATTCATGAAAACTTGGCTTATTAGGCAAATCGGGCCTTGAATAGTAGGCTGAGAAGTGCGTTCTGGCTATTAGGTACGACATATATATATATATATATATATATATATATATATATATATGTCGTACCTAATAGCCAGAACGCAATTCTCAGCCTACTATGCAAGGCCCGATTTGCCTAATAAGCCAAGTTTTCCTGAATTAATATATTTTCTCTAATTTTTTTCTTATGAAATGATAAAGCAACCCATTTGATTATATATGAGATCAATTTTTTTTTATTGGAGTTAAAATTAACGTAGATATATGACCAAACCTAACCAACCCTCCCTAACCTAACCTAACCTATCTTTATAGGTTAGGTTAGGTTAGGTTAGGTAGCAGAAAAAGTTAGGTTAGGTTAGGATAGGTAGGTTAGGTAGTCGAAAAAAAATTAATTCATGGAAACTTGGCTTATTAGGCAAATCCGGCCATGCATAGTAGGCTGAGAAGTGCGTTCTGGCTACTAGGTACGACATATATATATATATATATATATATATATATATATATATATATATATATATATATGTCGTACCTAGTAGCCAGAACGCACTTCTCGGCCTACTATGCAAGGCCCGATTTGCCTAATAAGCCAAGTTTTCATGAATTAATGTTTTTTCGACTACCTAACCTAACCTAACTTTTTCGGCTACCTAACCTAACCTAACCTATAGAGATAGGTTAGGTTAGGTTACGTAGGGTTGGTTAGGTTCGGTCATATATCTACGTTAATTTTAACTCCAATAAAAAAAATTTACCTCATACATAATGAAACGGGTAGCTTTATCATTTCATAAGAAAAAAATAGAGAAAATATATTAATTCATGAAAACTTGGCTTATTAGGCAAATCGGGCCTTGCATAGTAGGCTGAGAAGTGCGTTCTGGCTACTAGGTACGACATATATATATATATATATATATATATATATATATATATATATATATATATATATATATATATATATATATATATATATATATATATATATATATATTAGTATATTTTGGTAGCAGTCTTTCCTGTAGACATATATTATTAAATATGACCGAAAAAGTAAGATTAATAATTCTAACACGAATTTTCTCAATCTTTCGTACATTTCTTTTCACTGTTGGTGGTAATTCAAAAATCAATTCTCCAAAATTCATATTTATTTCTAGTCTGACGCGACACTTGAGCTCGTTTCGTAAAACTTATTACATTTTCAAAGCCTTTTGTTTAAACATACACAACTGAATAGAACTTACACATCTCCTATTTGTTTATATCTACATTTGAGTGAGGTGGATGAGGTGAGGTGGTATTTAATAGGGTATTAATTTCATCAACACAAGACAGAACACGAAACAATGGGTATTGAATGGAAGTGATTGTAGAAAGCCTATTGGTCCATATTTCTTGATGCTTCTATATTGGGGCGGAGTCTTGAGGTGGGTAGAATATAGTTGTGCATTAATTAGCTGGTGATTGCTGGTGTTGACTTCTTAATGTGTAGAGCCTCGCAAACATCAACCCGCCTGCTATCGCTGTATCTATCGATGATTTCTGTGTTGTTTACTAGGATTTCTCTGGCGAAGGTTTGGTTGTGGGAAGAGATTATATGTTCCTTAATGGAGCCCTGTTGCTTATGCATCGTTAAACGCCTAGAAAGAGATGTTGTTGTCTTGCCTATATACTGGGTTTTTTGGAGCTTACAGTCCCCAAGAGGGCATTTGAAGGCATAGACGACGTTGGTCTCTTTTAAAGCGTTCTGCTTTGTGTCTGGAGAGTTTCTCATGAGTAGGCTGGCCGTTTTTTTGGTTTTATAGTAAATCGTCAGTTGTATCCTCTGATTTTTGTCTGTAGGGATAACGTTTCTATTAACAATATCTTTCAGGACCCTTTCCTCCATTTTATGAGCTGTGGAAAAGAAGTTCCTGTAAAATAGTCTAATAGGGGGTATAGGTGTTGTGTTGGTTGTCTCTTCAGAGGTTGCATGGCGTTTCACTTTCCTTCTTATGATGTCTTCGACGAAACCATTGGAGAAGCCGTTGTTGACTAGGACCTGCCTTACCCTACAGAGTTCTTCGTCGACTTGCTTCCATTCTGAGCTGTGGCTGAGAGCACGGTCGACATATGCGTTAAAAAGCATATGTCGACCGTGAAAATCAGAGGATACAACTGACGATTTACTATAAAACCAGAAAAACGGCCAACCTACTCATGAGAAACTCTCCAGACACAAAACAGAACGCTTTAAAAGAGACCAACGTCGTTTATGCCTTCAAATGCCCTCTTGGGGACTGTAAGCTCCAAAAGACCCAGTATATAGGCAAGACAACAACATCTCTTTCTAGGCGTTTAACGATGCATAAGCAACAGGGCTCCATTAAGGAACATATAATCTCTTCCCACAACCAAACCATCGCCAGAGAAATCCTAGTAAACAACACAGAAATCATCGATAGATACAGCGATAGCAGGCGGCTTGACATTTGCGAGGCACTACACATCAAGAAGTCAACACCAGCAATCAACAGCCAATTAATGCACAACTATATTCTACCCACCTCAAGACTCCGCTCCAATATAGAAGCATCAGGAAATATGGACCAATAGGCTTTCTACAATCACTTCTATTCAATACCCATTGTTTCGTGTTCTGTTTTGTGTTGATGAAATTAAAACCTTATTAAATACCACCTCACCCCATCCACCTCACTCAAATGTAGATATAAACAAATCGGAGATGTGTAAGTTCTATTCAGTTGTGTATGTTTAAACTAAAGTCTTTGAAAATGTAATAAGTTTTACGAAACACGCTCAAGTGTCGCGTCAGACTAGAAATAAAAATGAATTTTGGAGAATTGATTTTTGAATTACCACCAACAGTGAAAAGAAATGTACGAAAGATTGAGAAAATTCGTGTTAGAATTATTAATCTTCCTTTTTCGGTCATATTTAATAATATATATATATATATATATATATATATATATATATATATATATATATATATATATATATATATATATATATATATAACTTTTTAGACACTCAACCCACCAGGGGACTCGAACACTGGCCAACAAGTTGGCAGTTGCATGCTGTATCCACTACACCATACTTCAAAGCCATTTAGAGAGGTAGGAATTCTGGGGTATTTAACCAACCAGAACTCCAATCCTCTCCCAGGCAATGAGATAGTGTGGGACCTCTAATGCTCTTTCATCGGTTCCTGTTATATGGGAAAACTCAGTGCCAAATGCTTAATGCACAGACTACCCTATTCCAGTAGCTGAAGTTTATATCTTTTTAGACACTCAACCCACCAGGGGACTCGAACACTGGCCAACAACGTGGCAGTTGCACGCTGTATCCACTACACCATACTTCAAAGCCATTAAAAGAGGTAGGAATTCTGGGGTATTTAACCAACCAGAACTCCAATCCTCTCCCAGGCAATGAGATAGTGTGGGACCTCTAATGCTCTTTCATAGGTTCCTGTTATATGGGAAAACTCAGTGCCAAATGCTTAATGCACAGACTACCCTATTCCAGTAGCTGAAGTTTATAACTTTTTAGACACTCAACCCACCAGGGGACTCGAACACTGGCCAACAAGGTGGCAGTTGCATGCTGTATCCACTACACCATACTTCAAAGCCATTAAGAGAGGTAGGAATTCTGGGGTATTTAACCAACCAGAACTCCAATCCTCTCCCAGGCAATGAGATAGTGTGGGACCTCTAATGCTCTTTCATCGGTTCCTGTTATATGGGAAAACTCAGTGACAAATGCTTAATGCACAGACTACCCTATTCCAGTAGCTGAAGTTTATAACTTTTTAGACACTCAACCCACCAGGGGACTCGAACACTGGCCAACAAGGTGGCAGTTGCATGCTGTATCCACTACACCATACTTCAAAGCCATTAAGAGAGGTAGGAATTCTGGGGTATTTAACCAACCAGAACTCCAATCCTCTCCTAGGCAATGAGATAGTGTGGGACCTCTAATGCTCTTTCATCGGTTCCTGTTATATGGGAAAACTCAGTGCCAAATGCTTAATGCACAGACTACCCTATTCCAGTAGCTGAAGTTTATAACTTTTTAGACACTCAACCCACCAGGTGTACACTTCCAGGTATACACGCCAAGGT